TATTAATAATACAAAGAATATTTCTTCCATAAAACACCAATTAAAAAATTATGTAATGTAAGTCTATGGGAAAACAAGACTTGACTTAGGGGCAATTCAACTTAGGGACACTCTTGATGCACCAATTATGTCCAGATGTCAGGGTCTCACTGTATTTTATTCATTTCAGACACGCATCAATTATAAAAATAAAACCTGTATATTTATCAGCAAGACTGATGATTTCAAATCGTTTATCAGGAAATTGAAGGAATTCTGACAACACCTTGTTCTTCACTTTCTGCGTTTCACGAATTTTAAAGACAAGAATATTAAAAAAAAAACTTCGCAATACTCCTCTTTCCTCAATATAAAAAATCTCAAGTTTAAATTCGAAATGTGATTAAATCTGAGTGTTCTGCGGTCAACACATTTCGTTACGTGAAAGGGTTTTCTTTTTTGAGTAACTTCTCCTCTGCACAAAAAGTTTCGCAAAGCGAAATTTTCGGCGCAAAGACTTTTAAGACGGGGACCCACTGTACATCGGTATTAATAATACAAAAATTCATAAGTAACTCAGGCTAATGCACAATCAATGCCATATTAAACTCAACAAATCCCATCCTAGCTCGAAAATAATTTGAATGAGCATCGTAAGTTTAAAAAAATAAATGAAAGAATAACCACGAGCACTGCGGCTACAGCCTAAATAAGGAAGACCCAGCTTCGCGTGACAATTACAAGTAAAAACCAAAAGTCCAACGGAACAAATCGCACGGAAGCCAGTTGCAAACAACACTTCAACGCCAGATTCAGAACGGGATATTGAATAAAGCGTGAAAGATTCCTTTCGAAGACAGACGCAACGGGATTCAGATCTGCTCATGTACGTTCCAAGGATTCTCAAGATAAAATCAGGACAGTACTGTAATTGAAATTATCAACACAGAATTCCAGAATTTTTCAAAAATTAATTTTTCAAGTGAAAGGAACATGCAAAATGCAGGAACTTAAATATAGCCCCACATTCAGGCGTTACCAGCGTCGCAACCTCATTCAACTTTGTAATTCAAGGTTAAAACGTCTCGCACACATACACAGCGTTCGGATTCATAATCCAGATCCCTGAACTAGCTAGATACAAACATGAACTTGGAATGAGCGATGCAAATCAGGGCGAAGTTTCTCAACTTGCGCTCCAAGGAAAAGGAAGAAACACCCGTTATCTGAAAACCACGATCAAGGCTAAAAGTAAAATGCTGTACAGTATAGTCATTCCCAATAAACCAAATGAAGCCGAAATTTTGTAATCATTTGCGAGACTCAGATTAGGCTTGAACGGCACCGCCATAGAAATTGATGAATAAAAATAAATAGAAAGACTTGGCACATGAAACCCACTTGAAAGAAAAAATCAGGCCGCAGGGAGAAAGAAAGCATCACTAATTCTTCCTCCGGTCCCCCAGAGACTTTCGAACATTTAAATTTTCGCAACACGCTCTTCACTCGACGACCGACAGCGTGACTAAAAGCACAATCAAGGCTCGCATCCACTCAGCATCTGCAACAACAACGAGAAACAGGCAAAAGCGCTTTATGAAGAAAGCCGATCCAAATAAGCAAAAGCACAAAGCATCGGAATAAATAGCTGAGACCCTGGAATTCACACAAGACAATCCAAAGAAGCCAATCTCTGTTTCATTCATCACGCGTTCAAAAATTTTTCTGTTCCCTTCAGTCCACCGAAACGAATAATTTATAATGCAACATGCTATACAAAAATATGTTGTCACGCGAAGACAGGATGGAAGACGGAAAGCAACAATACGCGCAAAAAATCACAGCGAAGCTTTTCCCCCCCTCGCCCACAAGAAAACTTTAAAATGAAACGGTATCGTGCTTCCATTCGTATGCATAGGCAGGAGTTAATTATCCTTGTAAAAAGAAAACCCGGCAGAAGAGCAAAGCCCTCCCCAAAATACAAAGCAGCTTTTCGAAAAAAAAAGAAAAAGATTTCATTTGAATTTTGTTCATGGTTCATTCTTGATATAAAATTGTTCTTTTGCACCAGGTTTCCTTTTTGCAAAAACAATTTCCTCGCGACACACGATTCAGAAAACGGACACGAACAAAATAATTATTCCTCCACACAAATCATACACGTCTAAAATAAAACTTTCAAATTCCATGGCTATCGCTAGTGTTCCGTTCTTGTTGCATGAGATATTGGGTACAGTCGTATCACAGAACGCTTACTCCCCGCATTGGTCAAAAAAGGAGAAGGATGCGGAAAAAAAGCGAATGCCACAATGCCGGAACAAGTGTTGCCCAGGACAATTCCACGCTTGGTTAAAAATAAACGCTTCTAAGATTGCATTGTTCTCAAATGCACCTCAAGTCCACACAGTTGCAACCTCACGCAAAAAACATAAAATTTCCGCATTTGTGCAATCAAAAACCTCGAAAACCTTTTGACACACGTAGGAATAGCTTTTTTGATCCGGAAGTTCGTTTTTTTTTTCGTCTTAAAGCAGATAAGGAAGTTTTTTTTTCTTTTTTGGCAACACCTTTCGATGATAAAAACGATCCACGCAATGACGTCAAAAATTACGCCGGGTTTTGTAGAAAATCTACGATGAACAACTGCCTTATCCCACGAGGTAATATTAGTAACCTAGAAAGAGATGTTCAAAGAAAATTCCAGCTGAAAAAGGGAAACGAAAGTTAAGCCTAACCGAAACCGATTAGGCACAAGAATTTCATCAATTGAAATCTTGAAATCCGAATGAGAACTAATAATAGGAAAAAACTGCTGAACATTTTCCCCAGCAGATCGCCCAGCATACTACATCGAATAAAAACCTTACGTGAGATTCAATAGTCCGTGATTCGTTCTAGTTTTTTTTTCTTTCTTTAGGAGTACATGTGCGTGTCTCTTCGTTCAATTACCACCCGGAGGACACCCATGGGAAACAATGCTATCCAAAGACTTGAAGAGATCCTGATCTTCACCAGAGAACGAAAAGTTGGCGTCGAAAAAGTCGAGATCGGTCGGCACTCCGGTGGTGTCGATTTGTGCCATACCCGCGCTGGAACCTTGTGTTTCCATTCTGTACCCTCCTTGCGCTGCTTGGAGTTGTATATGATGCTGCTGCTGCGCTTGAATATTCATTTGCTGCTGGAAAGATCAAAAATGCCCATCAACATCGTCCACATTTCGCAAAAAGATACAGTAACCTAAAAATAGAATCACGAATTATAAATTATAAAAAATACTCAATACAGTATTAGAAGAAACGTTTTTTTTCTTTTCTTCACAGATCATGACTCCGGGTTATTACGGCATAAGGCTGCAGCCCAGAATTATCTCAGCTAAATTACGAACACATTCAAAAATTTTTAGCGGGAAATACAGGACTAACCTGAGTCATCGGATTTATGCAGTTTTGCGGGCGGTATGGATTCCCAGGAACGTCCACGTGGTTGTCCGACATGACCATTTGCTGGGGTTGCTGAGTCATCCCTACACAAAATCAATAAATGAGCATCAATACTGAGAAAGGATTACTTTCCATCTAAGACATTTCATTCTTTCAATAAGTTAACAGCGACCCTTCGATAGCTTCACAAATATTGTAGACCCGAGACGGCTGAACATGCCAACAATTCGGACCAAGTTCGATATTTTTGCTTCTAGATTATGATCTGACACACACACATCATCGAGTAATCCAGCACCACCGTCACATAGCTTCAATCGAAAAATATTCGAAACTAATTTAATTTAGATTGAAGGATATGCACAATTTTCCAGTTCATTCAAGAATAGAAAAAATAATAATTAATCACAGGCTCATCCTTTTTGTAAAGGAGCTACAAAAAATCAGGATATGATATGATTACAGAAACTTACCCTGGACATTATTCGTTACTTGAGGTGGCATCCAACTTTGACACTTCAAGTAATGTGGATTTGGATTCATCATCGGCGCAGAAACTCTGATGACTCCATAAGCACCTGAATTATGAGGCACCCTCGCCGAAACTTCGCAGTTTTGCGCAGTGACTATACCACCTGTCTGCTGAAATAAATTTGAACTAGTCAATACGGTCCTGTAACAGCAAAGCGAGAACGTACGAAAAATCTGATGGATGATCATTTATGTACTACGGGATTTGCAAAAGAGACAGGAACATATGATTATGATAAAGAATC